CTTCATCCCTCCACTTTTATATCATTAAGGGTCTGTAACCGATTCGTTCCACGCTTTCAACACCATTCATGCGATTATATCTGGGGGATGACAATCACAAATTTTAGGCCACCAGAATTCAGGATAAATCGATGGTGATAGTGGGAGAGCGAAATCTGTGGGGATATTGAATGTTTGAGTGAATGGGATTGATTCAAGCGAATAATGATACGCATCGTCGGAGGATGAAAAAACTGTTGTTGGGTTTGAATGATGATGTCGATGAATTTCGACGTTTTTATTAATTGTTGATGTGTCCTGGAAGTAGGGGATTTTGCTCTTTTGAGAGGAGAATGTCACGTTTTTTCCATCAATTGATTTTTGCATGCTTCACTCAGGAATACCGTCAGATCATTCCTAACTTTGGGATGTTTTAGGGAGATACACGTGGATAAACCTAAACGTCAATTACGTTTAAGAAGTCGTCTTTTACGCTTTCTGAAGCGTAAATTACGATTACATAATCGTAATTTACGATTCCTCAAGCGTGAAATACGCTTAGTGAATCCACCAGACATCATATTGACATTAAGCGTAGATTACCTTTGACGAACCGAAATTAGACTTAGGAATTCGTAATTTACGTTTAGATTTTTCTGTGGGTATAATGGGAAATAAAACATTTCTGGGCTTTGCAATGGGGTTTTTCACTCGAGTGGAGTTGGCATCCGAGCCGAAAGCGAGGCTTCGAGTTTGGGAAATATGCAATACCAATTTGCATACGAAAAATCACGAGAGACGGTATGGAGAATTTTTTCTCAGATAACCTTTGTTTTTAATTAAACATTTTTAATGTCAGGGCTTTATATTCTATAGGGATTCAATTACCTAAAAAATTCAATAAAATTCCAACACCATTGGGCAAGAGTTTCACTTGGACATTTTTCGATAACAAAAATTTACGCGTGCTCTTCAGCTGATTAATTGCCAATGGAAATTTGCTAATATTTTTCGCTGAAATCGTTCGACATTGAGACAATTCCTACTTCAAAGGCTATATGATGCCAAATTCTGCGGTGAATTTCATTGCTTTGCGGAAATATAACAAACAATGATCAGAATGATAAGAAGTTGTTATGTTCAATTCAATTGTAGTTCAGAATCTAGGGAATAACCCCTAGTCAATGCTACTGGGTACACCGATACACCCAACGCAGTTATGTTGAAAGTTGACAATATCAGAAGTTTCTGGAAACAAGTTTTGGCTGTATGATGCCAAATGCTGGGGTGAATTTCATTGCTTTGCAGGAATAATAGAACAAACAATGATCAGAATGATAAGAAATTATGATGTTCAATTCAAATGCAGTTAAGAATCTAGTGAATAACCTTCAGTCAATGCTACGGGGTACACCGATACCCCACGCACTTATGTGGAAACTTGACAATTTCAGAAGTTTCTAGCAACCATCAAACTGTTAGTGTCACGTACAGACGATTTCCGTAGTGTGCAACCTAGTGGTTCCGTAATGCTCTGCATTTCGGTAGTATAGTACCAAAACAAGAGTTGCAGTTTATGGGTGGAAATGAGAAATTAAACTCGGAGGACCATCTCTTCTTCAGTTCAGTCAGGTATCTCAAGTATTCTCAGTGCAGGTCAGGGTCATATCCTTCGAAATTGACGGGAGCTGTGTACTCGTGAAGTTTCATGAGTTCATTCAAGGTACAAAGTTCTACGTTTGAAATATCATATCTCCATTGATGATCAACTATGCACTGCTAAAATAGCATGAAATTTCCTGGACAGTTGAGTAGTAATTTTCAGAAGAATGGCATCAAAGTCGATTTAGGTGGAAAAAAACATTATAATATTTTCCATTTCACTGAAAATTTGGTGAAATTCGAAATATTTTAGCAACAGGAAGACGACGATTTCTCAACTCACTCGATTTTTTCATCAAAACATGAACATTCAGTCCCAAATTATGCTGAATTGTTAATTAATGAGAAATGCAAGAATATATTTGCCTGAATTGTCCTGATTTCCATGAATTTTCTCAGAATAATCGAGCATCATTTCACATTTTCCATTGATTATTTCGTCAAATTGTAACTTTTCAACTTCGAAATTGAAAACCTAATTTAAAACTAATTTCAAACCGCTCATTAAAATAGTCACATTCGCGGCTTCATCACCACCACAGTTGCTTCAGAAAACTGGCAGACAATACCACTGTAATTTATCAAACTTATAATTCATCGACAACTCCGTTGTCTATTACACGGCTAGGGCTGCCGAAGTACCTCTGTACAAATAAAATATTTTTCTGTTTCATCCGTTAACATGGAATTTCCGGTGAATTACAAACTTCCCGGGGTCAGAGCAGCTTCAATCAATTAATTTCATTACGACCGTGGGCAGAATGCTTTTTCGACCCCTGGAATCCTCGTGCAATCCCTACGAACAAAGGATACTCACCTAGTATAATCAGTGTGGTCAAGGACTGCATGGCCGAATTATTAGGAGCATTGTTAATTAATTTCAGAATTTCCCCCGAACCTATTAATTTTCAAACTCCATTCGCCCCGTGTTGTAAGCTTACGACTTTGAATGGCATGATCCACAAATGATGGATTCATTATTGAGAACTTTCGGCTCAAATTTCCAATGCATTTGAAAATTTCTATCAGTTGATAATTGCGCTGAAATTTCAAGTGATTTCAGAATGGAAAATTCACAATTTGATGGAAAAACCCATGAGAACTGTAAATTTTATTTTAATTTTTCTACAAAAAATTAATAGAAATTTAAAGAATCGAGCACATATATTCTTCAATCTCTAATCGACTAAAAACTCTGCATTTTTTTGTACTAATTATTCATGATTTCATCAAAAAATCAGGTGAGTATGAATTTCCTGTGAATTCAATCGAATTACTGTTAAAATATCCATGAAATTCCAATTTTTTCCATCATAATTCAAATTAATTTCAAAATCGTCATCGAAGTGATTATTATTCTAATGTTTTCCACCTTCACTGGAGTTTCCCAGGTATAATTTTCTGTGCTTCATTATCCATGATTAAATCTCCTCATCATCTCACCCCCAGCAATACGACAGTTACCTGATCCCGAGAAATTGACCTCGAGTGAAACCCTTCGGTGATCCACAGCTCACATAACACGTATACGAAGCCCACTCTGATTATCCTAGAGTATCGAATTCGAAATTAGTTCATAAAGATACGTTGTGGCAATTATTCACCTGAGGTACATAAAAATTATTCGATGTCTTCACAGGAATATGATCTTGCAGCTTTCAATTAATGAAACGCCTTTTCAAATGAATTTCATAATTCTCTTGGAAACAAATCCAATTAAAGTGCCACTCAACTATTGTAATAACATTTAGATTGTTCTATGCCTATTTATTCACTAGACACTCAAACTCAAGTGCAAATTCGATTACGTTCCAACCAAGAGGAAGCGAGAAATTTTACCCTGGTTGAGTTTATTGAAAACGCCCAACACAGCAAGAAGCCAACACACAAGCTAAAGAGGACGTAAAAGGAAAGAAGGACTGAGGAAGGGAAATCAAGAAAATCCTCGTGCACTTTGTTGTCAATGTCAAAGACAGAAAATTTACACTTTGTCTGAAGACTACTATCTACTTGAAACCATCTTATTCATCTCCTTTCCGTAAAACATGGTAGGTTCGCTCAGAGAAGAAGTCAGCTTTGCTGAAAAATTATATGCTCCACGAAGGAAATCTTTTGTCGTGTTGAATCAATTTTGTGATAGATAGACAGATAATAAAGAGAGGTTCCACCACAACATGATAATTACGTAGCTGTAATTGTTCTTGTAAGACATTAATTCGTATTTTTCCAGTTGACAATTGTAATTTCCATGAAACGAATGAGAATTTCAAGAAAAAACAAAATTTTTCTCCGAAAGCTGTATTATTGCCAGAACTAAATAATTTCTAGGCTAATATTTTTTTGGAACAGTATTTTTTTCTTGTCAATGTATTCTTTCTTTGGTATCATCTTATGGGGATTCCTCAGCTCAGATGATTGAGGTACAATTTTTTTTTTCCTGCCGATAGTTCAAATTCTCTTAGGGCTATTTTTAATGGTCATGTGAAAAATTGAATTTTTGTGAAACATTTTAAATGTCGTTCTGGCAAATTAGTTGATTTCCCGAAACAAATAACCAGTGAATTTTCAGGAAAAATTATGAAAAATTTGGCTTTCTTTACACGGAAAAATTGTAAGTCAAAACTTCATTTGTGGCTACATTCTAGAACGGTTGAGATAAAAAAAAGCGGCAAATATTCACGTGCTAATCAATAAAATTTTCAGAGCCGGCACTGAAATTTTTCGCTAGTCGTCACGTCGCGCCTTTTCCCCGTGCTAGCACTTGAATTTTTCTAGAGAATTTCTCGCCGTGTATGTCTGTATAGAGCCAAGGCCGATAAAAAAAATTACTCAACGTTCTGACGTAAAAATTCATCAACTTCTCAACGTACTTTTCCCACGAAAATAAAAAAAAATGTCATCCCTTCAATTAAAATTACATTCCAACCCAATAAAATTTCTGAAATTGAAAGGGAATATTCGTTTTTTGTGTCACATTGTTCCTGAATTTGAGTGAAAAATTCCTGAGTAAGAATTCGACCATGATAATCAATTCGGGTGTTGGAACACCCAAATTGACAATTGAAATACTGAATAGATTCATCGGTCAATATTATCTCTTTCAACAACTCTGAGTTTGGGAACATGAGAGGTATCACCGTGAATGAAAACGTCAAAACCCTTTGACTTTATTCATCAAATATCAATCAAAAAATCGTGTAAAAGAGATGCGAACATTTCAATGGAAAATAACGGAAAAACTGTTCAATAGTGAAAATTCCAATAGAATTTTCCCGGGTTTGAATAGGAATCAAGAAGGATATTTCACTCTGTAGTTGAAAATGGAAATATCCACTCCTATAGTATGGGATTTTATTGGAAATGGGGTCAAAAACGACTTTGATTGAAATCGAATAACATATAAATTTTCTGTTGAGCGACACATGGACGTGAGATGTAGTGTTCTATCATCCTTCGGATAACGATGATTGTACCCTCGTGAAGAATTCCTTGAGTGCACTTTCCACTGTCGGACCCAATTGTTTCAACATCCACTTGGCTGTACTTGGACAAACGATGATCACTCCGAGAAGACTGATGGTCAAAGGAGCCAAGAAAGTCCAAATGAGCTTCAAAGAAATTAATCATTAATAACAATTCAGTAGCGAAGTGGTAAAACGGTTTAAGTTGACTTATCTGCCAGTTGAGTTTTTGAGGAATATTTCCGAATCTAAGGGACATAGCAAAATTTTTGTTATAACCTTTTTTATAGAGCCAATTGAGAGCTAGAACAAATGTTATCACGAAATATTCGCTATCTCCCTTAGATTCGGAAATATTCCTCAAAATCTCAACTGGGAGATGAGTCAACCTGAAGCGTTTTACCACTTCGCTACTGAATTGAATAATTCTCAATTACCCAATCCCACCTACAAATCTATAATTGAAAACGCCGTGGCTATTCGCACTACTAAACGCAGCGTGTCACACGCCGCGTGTCGCACGCTGCGTGTGAGACGCAGTTTCATATACGCCGTGGCTATTCGCACTACCGCACGCAGCGTGTCACACGCCGCGTGTCGCACGCTGCACGCGTGTTCGCGTGTGAGACACGCGACATGCGGCGTGTGAGACGCAGATTCATATATGGGTCGGCCAGCACAACAACACGCAGCGTGTCACACGCAGAAATTCATAGAAGGCCCGAGTGCAGGAGCGGATATCGAAATATATTGCAGTTGATTCTAAGGATGATTGGTTGACACGCTGCGTATTGTGCTCTTGGCCGACCCTTATATGAATTTCTGCGTGTTGTAGTGCTGGCTGACCCTTATATTAATTTCTAGGTGTGACACGCAACGTGTCGTACGCTGCGTGTGGTAGTGCGAATAGCCGCGGCGAATTGTAAATTTTCACAATAAAGGTATTTCTGGTGAAATTCAATCGGGGGATTGCTGTAAGTGCCCCTTGAACGGAAATGAAATGAAACCCTTTAAAAAAATTTCTGAAATACCCTCGTGTTATTCAAAGCCATCAAATTCAAGGAGGAATAAAAGTCGCTTACGTTCAAGAACCAACACACCACTATCCAGCCAAGAAGCACGGTACCGGCTGTACTGAAATATGACGCATACTCCGGTCGAAGCAGACACTGAAGATACGGTACCTTTTCACCAAGATCAGCCAAAATAATCTCCATCTGTTGTGTCATGTCATGCCCCCAGAGTACATAAAATCAAAAGCCCTCAGGGTTACTGAATGATTAATAGGTGTTACAGTATCGGATATCTCGACGCGAGCTATAGAATTGAACCTCAGAAAAGCGCAAGAGTCGCAGTTGACTTGTATCGGTTGATCGATGATGACAGGATTGAAAAATTCAGAGACACTGCAATGCAATTAAGCGAGCTTTAGCGACGCTCATGTACACATTCAATTTTTTTCCGTGCATTCAACGGGAAAATTGTCCGTCCGAAATAATATGTGTCGTCACTTGTGCATAAAGTGAAATTTTGCGCAAATCTCTCTTTTCACACATTGTGATAAAAAAAAATAGTTTGCCACTCCTGGGAAGTGTTCTTTGCCAGTTAGGAGGGTCGCACTCGCCTTCGGCGAGCGCCACACACCTCCCACGGGGCAAAAAACGCTTTTATGCACTCGTATCGAAATATGCTATTTTAATATGAGTGCGGAAAAGTGATTTTGGCGCGAGGGAGGTCTACCAAAGGAGCGAATGCCAAAGGTGAGTGCATTTTTTCCACGAGTGTCGGACTCATGGGAAATTATGTTCCACAGAGGAGATCTTCTGTCGTGTTCAAACAATTTAGTTGTAGACAATAACGAAAGTTTTCACCAAAACATGATAATTTCTGTGGCAATAATTGTTCTCGTTAGCAATGAATGTGCCTTTTGGGTAAATACAGTAGTTCTGGAGAGAATTATATGAGGCGCGGGTTATATCAAGTGAATATTACTGAGTAGTGTACATACTTTCCCAGTAAACACTTATAATTTCCACGGAGCAAATGAAAACTTCGAAAGAAAACTTGATTTGTTTTCCCGAAAACTGGAAAATTTTAAGTAAATAATTTCTAGTGGGGGGGGGGGNAAATTCCTGGGGGGGGGGGGGGAGAAACAAATAAGTTAAGTAAGTACATAACTAATTAAAACAGAGTTGAAATAAAATCAAAATAAGAATTTAGAAGAAATTTTATGTAATTGACGTTATTTAATCATTAAGGAGAGGAGGAGGCATAAGGTAGGTGTAAAACGGAGAAACCGTTTGTAATACCAAAGAGTTAAATAAATATAAAATAAAATAGTTACTATAGAGGAATTATTTTTTTCGGTGTAAATAATATTTCTTTCTCGTCAATGTCTTCGTACGGTATAATCCTGTGGGGGTTCTTCAATATCAAATAATTGTGGCAAAATAAATTAGGTATTCCTGCCAACAGTTGGAATCCTTCTAGGGATATTTGTAATGATCACGACAAAAATGTTATTTTTTTGAAAGTGCTCACATCCCCTAGTATCAAGATGGTTTATTTCCCCCAAGTATATCTGCCCCACTCCATCGAATATTCTCACGTGGAACATATAATTTTTGGGAGAATAATGTTTTCTCCCAGTGCATGTCTGACATTTATACATGCCGGGATTAGAAATCAGGAGATTCCGGAGGTTGAAATTTATCACAAGATTTTCCAACGACCCTTTCAAGTATTCATGCATTTTTTTGGACTTAATCATGACTTTATTCCCCTTCTTCCCTCACCCTGGACCTTCTTTACGTGCAATTATGTAAGAAACCCCGCTCCCATCGCTGATTACTCTATCGCGAATTTTATTTTCTCAAGTAAAAAAAAATCTTCGATCAAATGAGATATCGAGTCGACGGATAGTAACGGAAGAGAGGCACGGAAAGTATTAAAGTAGGCAAGGAAATTACATCACCACCACGGCAAGTGGCACTTTTGCGTGTTCTCTCGCTTTAAAAAAGAGGAGAAAAAAAATACAGCTTTGAGCAATTTTCATTCCAACGCGTCAAGCCAGAAAAGAGAAGAGGAAACCCGCTTTAAAGAGGCAAATGAATTCTGTGAAAAAATATTGGGTACTCACATTCATTATGTTGAGTATCTTTTGATGGTTTTTTCACGAGGAATTTTCCGTTCGAGGTTATCAGTGGGTTTGGCTGCAAGAGTTCACTTATGTCAAATCGAAGAATGACAATCAAACAGATGTTTTTCAGCTTTTTTTAAAGAACTACTTTCACGCTGAATGACGTACCGAGTGATTACTACTTTTTTCTTTCGAGCGTTCGGTTGAGAGCAACGATGAAAGCTGTATTTTACTGTTCTGACGCATTCAATATTTTTTTATTCGCTGCTTCAATCGCATCAGCATAAACTTGCAGCTGGCTACTGTGAAAAGTCGATATTCAGGGGAATTTATTAATGGCACGGTCGAAGGTGCACCGAGAGAAAAGTTCGGTAGAAATTATCCGAACGTTCTATTAAAGTGCAGCATGAGTGATGTTTTCCTCGTGTCTATCTCGAATTGAAAATATTGAATGAATTTTTTAATTCTTCTCTTTGCTCGTCTTAACGCAACGGACCGGGAATTTATTGAAGCTGCATATTCTTTAATTCGAGATAAAAATGAGGAAAAACTCACCGTTTAAATGAATTTATTAATCATATGAACGAAGAAATACGGAGAGAAACGTTCGGTTGAAATTCACCTACCGGTCAATAAAAGTGTACCATGAATCATCTCTTCCTTTTTCTATCTCGAATTTTTCTTAAGATTAAATGTTGAAGAATGAAATTTGATATATGATAAAGATTAAATTTTATTCTCCGCTGGAAGAGTTTTGTTCTGTTGTTAATGAAAATTATTGTGTAATATTTTTGCATGACCTATACTAAATTTTGCCCCTTGCAACAATAAATCTTACCATACGGTACAAGGAGAAAAAAGTCGTAGAAAAATTACTGAAAAAGGCAAATGGAAAAAAGGTTCTTTATAGCTCAAAGCTGCATATTGTTAATTTTGGGTGGAAAAAATTCAACATTTAAGAAAATTTATTAATCACATGATTGTACCATGAGTCATTTCTTCCTCTTTCAATATCAAATTTTCCTAAAGATTGAATTCTACATTCCTCTTTATTAATTATTGTAATTTAATTTTAATTTAAGGAAGTGTTGATCTGTTGATAATTTCTGGATGACCAATATTAAATTTTACCAGTAATTTTTACCATACGATACAAGGAGTAGAAAGTCGTGAAAAAAGTACTGAAAAACTCCGATGAAGCGAAATACCCATCTCTCTTTTTTCAATTTTAAATCAGGAGCACAAAGGCTAGGATAGCACTGTTGAATAATATTTACCAACTCTTTTTCTCCATATAAAAATTGAACTCCCGTTGAAAACTCGAACTACGAGAGGATTTCCAGATCAGAGTGCAATCCTCCAGAATATCCCACAAAATTCCATCAACTTTCAGAACTAATACCAGCAAAAAGGTTCCCCGAATAACCACGGAATGTAGTTAAATGCAGGGTTCATAACAGCAAAATGAAATTGGCCTCAACAAGTATGTGGGAGAATGGTGCGTCAGTCTCCTTTGTTTCATACTGGTGGGGATCTAAAGACTGCATGGTAGACATAGTTTCCCCAACCAACAGATTCCATTGTCTCGTATAATGAGCAGGACGAATAATTGTGCTTTCTCTGTGTGATGTAAAAGCCTTCTGAGTCCTTTGAAGGAAAATCATTCGTTGTTTCCACGACCTTGAGTGCTTCTTGGACTTATCTTCGCGAGATGTTCAACATGAATATTAATTCCACTAAGAACATCGCGAGGTGTTTTACAAGAGACGAATGTGGTTTTCAGCAGTGAGGGGAGAAACAACCTAACACTACAAAGTTAATTTATGCCACGCTTTGCGATAAGTAAAGTTTAAAGTGCTTCAAACTCGACTTCTGCACGATGTGGCATAAAATAGAATAGACCACTCGGGCATAAACTTCGTTTTCAACATTCGTCGAAAACGAAATTTGTGCCCTTGTACTCTAGTATACTATTGTTAATCTAAATATGTCACGTTTCAAGTGAGAATTTTTTGCTTCAACAAATCCATTTTTTTTGTATGAGGTCATGATTAATAATACTCAGAGGAAAAAAGTTTCTGTTTCCAGCGCCAGAGTACGGAAATCCAGAACTATGGTGCTGCACTGAGAAAAAAAGTTTTGTGATATCGTCTTCACTTGTATCGAGAAACTCATGGCGCGAAAGTTCACAAGAAGAAAATATCTTACACTGAGAAAGAAAAAACGTTCTTCGAGAGACTTGCTACTTCTCCAAAGACGGGGATTATTTGTTGATGACAAGAAAGTGATTTCCCAAGCCAAGTCTAGTAAATCAATTTATTCAATAGTTTTTAAGTCTCAAATTCAAGATATTTAAGTACAAAACCAGTTGACTTGGCTCGAAAAGTCGCTTCCTTGTTGTGACCAAATTGCTCCTCATCTTTTGGACAAGCAAAAAATTACTTACGAATATTTTTTTCTTGTTTTCAAGCCGTGAGTTTTTTAACACAAGTAAAGACGTTAAGATGTTATACAAGTAAAGACGTACTTTTCAACAAACTTTTTTTCTGTCAGTGTGGAATCAAGAATCGTTGGATAATGAAATGAATGATCCTGGGCATTCAAAAATTAGAATTACTGACACAAATACTAGTCGCGCATGAAAGTGATCCTGTGGTATACCTGCATTCTTGTATTTTTTGTTTACGTTTGGAGGTCATTACAAACTCCACCGTAGTTCTATCAACGAATGTTATTCGAAGTATTCCCAAGCGACTCGACCGAGTAATTAGAAACTTGGTGTATTACACAGCATTTGAGAAGCATCGACTTTCAAGCAAATTCAAAATCTTGTAAAATGCAAAGCAAATGAAATGAGTTTCAAGTAGAAATTCCCGGATGAACTAGTGTTTGTGACTAGTGATGTTTCACTCTCGTTAATAATTTTTGACCAGGATTTGTTTTCAGACGTATTAACATGAATGGCAGGATTATATCACTGAAAATTAGTGACAAATATACTTATTTTCAGGATTTTCTGGGAGTGTGACGTTGAATTCAATTTAAAAATAACGAATTTTCCGATTTTTACTGAAAATTTAATGAAATTCCCAATTTTTAAGCAGCAAGAAAACAAAAATCCCCTAAGATACTTAAATATTTAATCAGAAAATGAATATTCAATACCAAATGAACCTGAGTTTTCAATTGATTGAACATATTTACCTGAATTTTCTTGATTTCTATCAATTTTCACGGAATAATTAATCTGAAATTTTCAGTTTCCATTCATTTTTCCGTAAGATCTGTAATTTTGGATAGAAATTTCCAACAAGTGTTCCAGATTTTTTTTCTCAAAAATTTTTTCTGCTCTGTGTCGTCTTGAATTGTACAAATTTTCTCCCCTAATCCCATCAAAACATAATCCCCATTCGTAATCTCACAATTTTATTCTGTTATCAAAATTTAAAAAATAAAAAGTTACATCTGATGGCATATTTTCTCCCCTCCTCCATTTCTGCAAGAGCCTCCTGAATAACTCCTGCAGATTCAATCCTCCCCCTCACGCTCCTGCACCTAAAGAAAAAGCATATCACATCGCCGCACGTAATTCCGCCCAACTGAGCAAGGAAGTATGGGTTTACCACAGGTATTTCCTCATTATAGTTTCCGTTAAATTCCTGAAGATGTTCAGTGTCGATATTCCTCGTCGTATATGGCACCGACACTGGCACAACACCAATCCCAATTTCTGGATTGTAAGACGAAGAGTATGATGGAAATTCGATGGTGCAGCTACGAGCAATTTCCAGTCTCGATTCACTCGGGCACATCGATGATATTTTGCTCAGAACGCGACACGTCATCTGACCACACCATGCGATGGAAGACTGCACACCTCAACCATGGGTACCAAATTAATTGTCCCGAGAAGGTAGGTGACGAACTCTCACGTATATAGGCCACCAAACCCTCTTGGAGTGTTCATCATCAATATTTTATGGATAATTTTGATAATGTAATTTTAAAATTGTACTGGGGATGAAGGGGAGGTGCACAGGATAATGAAATTTATTCCCCTGATTGACAGAAGCAATTTCCGTAGACTTACATCGTCACTCGTAACATTTCATAAAGTGATTAAATCTGAACTTCACTGATATGCAAACATCTCATCATAAAAAAAAGCAGTATCATCATCATCATCGTAAAAAAAAGCAGTAACAAAATATGGAATCGCGAGCATTAATGGATTACCACTGGGTGAAAAAAATGAGTGCCTGTGCTTGTGTTCATCCGTATAAAAACCAGAATATTGAGATGAATTTATTTCACCAGGTCGAGTTATTTCCCTCATTTTATGGGACAGGATTAATGAAAAATATTATTATCAAGGTCAGAAGATTTTATGATTTAACCGTAAAATAGAGATTCACCCTCGCCATTCATATCCCCCCCTGGGGTAATTATAATCCGACGAAATAGGTGTTCCCCCCACTGAATAAATTCAAAATTAAATTCAGATGTGTTCGCTGGCGAATACGTTATGGATCAGCGAATAGCAATTGCATTTGGTAACCTAGTTTACTCATTTTTTTACCGGTGAATTTGGTGTTATTTTACTCCATGTAATCAACCCAATCACGTGCGGCAGTGAGCGACAAACGTGATATCTCGGTGCTTGGGAATGGGTTTGTGGAATCTCACACAAGAACAAACATGAAACGTGATAAAAATTGTGCACACCTCTTTCATTCCGTTCGTACCCGTAAAAACGCGCCACATTCAGGTGCTCTTTGAATGTAGTGCATGTTGTGAGAGGATCAAATAAACATTTTTTTTTCATTTTCAGGGAAAATACGTTTTTCATACTCACGCTTATTAATATCCGGCTTTTTCGCAGTAAAAGTAGACACACAGGTGGAACGACAATAAGGGAGAATTCCAAGAGTCTTGAGAGGAGGGCTAAAACTGTCAGACATCCTGTGATGGTTATTAATCCGAAAAACTCCCCCGTCACGACAATAATCTAGAATTTTTTAAATGTAATTTACAGCTTCAAATGAATTTTTAATTTGGTGATTCTGAATTCACATAGAATTCAATATTTCAATGAAGGGTTGAGTTTTCAAACTGATTCTGAATATTAACGATTATATTCTATTGAATTTTGTCTAGATTGACGATTTAGAACAACAGTCGTCAAAACTTTCACAACTTTCTTTAATTTCCATCATCGTAATTACCTAAAAATTGAATTTCCATTGATTTTTTAATTGAAATTTCAAGAGTAATTGGCTAAAAGTGTCAGACATCGGTTATTAATCCGAAAAACTCCCCCGTCACGACACTAATCTAGAAAAAAAATTGAATTACATACGACTAGATTTTTTTTCTAATTGAAGTAATAGCTTCAGTTGAATTTTCAATCCCATTCTGAATACTAACGATTATATTCTATTGAATTTTAGCTAGACTGACGATTCAGAACAACAGTTGTCAAAATTTTCATAACTTTCCATAATTTTCATCATCAAAGTCCCTAAAAATTGCATTTTGATTCGTTTTCTGCTTAAAATTCCAAGAGTAATTAAAATTGTGCATAATGAAAATCGAATTTTCCAATTAGTTTTAATTTACTAAAATATTGTGACAGAGTGAAACGTACTCACTTCGATAATTGTCATAATTGAGTCGTTAACCAAAAAAACATTATGCGATTATGACAACGAGAGTTCCCTTCATGGCATGCAATTTAATACGTGAAATCCAAATAATGAGTGTTTCAATTCCCATGATAGGAGTGGTGCGCGTGGAAATGTCAACCTTCAAAATGACAAAGCGGGAGGACTCCCTGAGGGGAGTTCACGTGTATGGATAGAGATGAAAAAAGTGACTCTCTACTAGCCACCAACATTTGTGATTGTCTTTTCATTAGAGAAGTGAATCGCTCAATGTTTTTTGTTCTCTTCTCCCCTCCTTGCAACGTGCCCACACCAACAGTGAGATGAAAGACGGTTGAGGAATTGTCATCTGGACACTGAGCACGTGCTGGCATGATGACCCCTAGGCACAGAAGCAAACCACAGTACCAGAGAGGGTGAGGAGAGAGAGAGAGACAATGGCTGGATAGTTTGGGAAAGCTCATAAGTTTTCCAAGCTCTTAGCTCTTAGCTATGAGATCTCAAAGAGTACACGGGCAAAATGTTTCTGGAATTCTTCGGGGGAAGTCAAGGGGAACAATATTTTTTTATGGAGGGGTCACCGTAAAAAAATATATGAACTGGATTATGAGATGATTCAATTTGTAATTCTATCAAGAGAAGGATATTCTTCTTGGGGTCTGTGTTTCGTACAGTCATTCTGAGGGGCTGGAGATACCCTAATGCTTGACATCAAACGAAACCACTGGGGAGTGCCAGTGAGTTGCCTGAATAATGTCATAACTAAGATGTGGTTTCGTTCGAATTCACTGGGTTTTAATACAACGATATAAAAGGGTGCTGGTTTGTAAGGGGGATGAAGAAAGATGTTGTATATTCTCTATTGTCTTTTGCATTTTCTAGGCCGCGGGCCAAGTGCTTCCCTTTGAGCACCGAGGGGAGTGAGGGTGCTTTCTGAAAGATAAACTTTCCCTCCCACTCGAGAGATTTAATTTCCCTGGCTTTTTCTACTTGCTGGAGGTACGTCGGCTCGCGAGTATTATGTGACATCTAGTAGATACAGCCGTGAAACTTGTGTGGTCAGACACGACCGGCCATGTAGAGGTCCATTCGTACCGACATGTTTTTAAATTATATGTAGTTTCATGTTTGACTAACAGGAATTTCAATTAATTCATGAAATTAAAATGTGAATTGAAGATAGAGTGAGAACTAAAAGTTCTAATATCTGAAACACATTTAGTTAATTATGATACGATAATTCTATTGGATTTCTGTTGTTTTCTTTTTTTTTTCATGAAGAAAATCAAACAAAAAAATTATGCTTTAAAATATTCTTGTATTCAAGTACGATTTTATCCCACATCAACTCAGTCAAATCACGGAGAAGAATCGTCAATCTTCAAGTATTTTTTGGTCTCATGATTTTTCGACATGTAATATATTCATGATGTAACGCGGAACGATAATGATAAATGAGAATTTATCCGAGTGCCGTGAAGCGCAAACATTCTGAGATTTAAGTTATTGAAAATAATTGACTTCTCTCAATATAATAAATGTGGTCGTTATATTAGGAAATTTTTCTTTCGGTGTAGTGAAGAAGTACTCACAAATTATTTTTCTCTCATCATTTATTAACGAAAACAACAGTCACATACATTCCTATGAAGTAAGCATTCTGCCTAAAACTACATGAACATCGATAAATATACTCTTTCTCCCTGAAATCTCCAGCATTATCCAACTAAATTTAGTACCTGTATCAATAAATTGTTTCTGAAATAATGCGCAACAAAAAATGCCTCAATCTCATTCCTTATGAACATTGACATCGAATGTGGGTTCAGTTGATAACAATACTGCTCATTACTCAAAATTTTCAAATTTAAAGTTCTCCAACTGAAGTGAATCACCGCATTGCATGAATTACATAAAAAAAGAGAACAAAAAAATTATGTACAACTGAATACAATGGACTTCAGACTTTTCTTATCTTCATCGAACTAGAGGAATATCAATAACGGGTGTATATCACGTTAAACACTCCTATTATATATGTAGGTATTCGTCATTATTGTCACTAATTGATTTGTAACTCTCTGTTACTCCTTATGTGAATTAATTATTATCAACGCACTATGGGGTTTAAACGTTCTATATAAAAAATATGGATATGAGTGCGCAATAAATAACAACGGGATCCTATTCACCATTCAATGGTCCCCACTCATTATTATCCATTTTCTCACGTTATTGTCTGATTGTAAATATCCATCGATTCATCAATCCTTACAAACTAGATGATTTGATCCACAAATCACCATATTCAACATCATTATTCGTTTTTTTCCTATTATCTAAGGAATGCATTTGGCAAAAAATAATCGGGCGAAGAACACGAAGCCTTCGGAAATGCATGCAATATCTATAAATATTTCCTAAACAGTATTGACTATGACACCGTTGTACTAACTGTAAAGGTAAATGGAGGAGGCCTGTTACACCGTTGAGAAATTTCTGACTGAAACTTCCGATATATTTTTCGAAAATTTTCCCGGTAAATTTCTTGGAGATTTTCTCGGAAATTTAAAGGGATTTCGTCATTGAAAATTCAGAGTTGGATGAAAAAATGATTGAAAACTGTCAATGTGAAGTCGATTATTTCATGTAAATCAAAAGAAGTCGGAAAAATTCAGGTGAATAAATCCTTGAATTTTCAATTTAATTAAAATCCAGCATAATTTGGTAATCAAGGGGCAGTTAAATATTACGTCACACGATTAGGGGCGGAGGGGGGTCTGTAGTTTGTGACGCTTCATGTCACACCATAGGTTTTTTATTTTTTAATCGATGAAATTGCAAATGCAATTTTGTAAAACTATCCCAAAGATTCCCAAAGAGGAATTTTTCAATGCTGTGATGAACACAATGAATAAATTACGAAATGTTGAAAGAACATCGCGTAAATATTCAATTGTTCACATAATCAGTTGTCTTCTTATTTTTGTTTTTCAAATTCAATTCAATGTGTGTGACGTCTTGTAACTGACGGCGGAGAGGGAGTCTAAAAAGTGTAAAGAAAGTCTGACGTAATATTGTTGGATGCTCTGGACATTCATGTTTTGATTGAAAATTCAATTAAAATCGAGAATTCTCGTCCTCTTCCTGCTAAAAAATATTGAAATCCCATGGAATGTTCACTGAATTGTTAAATTTCGCGATTCCCCCTTCCCCAAATGGAATTCGATAGCGCTCATCTCAAAATAAATTCTAGATTGTCGATTTCGAGTTTTTCCTAATAATAATTTTCCAAAATGTGGGCTCTGGAGGCCAGTTGCAGATTAAAATTTGGCATTCTGTCGTCTCAAATCGTTCGGTATGACGAGTGTGATGAATGCACCGAAAGCGAGCATACAACACAATGCAATATTAGCCCAAAAGTCGCCCCAGGTGTTGATCAGTATTCGGTAGAGTGTTGTAAGTATTATCCCACATATTTGGGTGACGGCGTTGAGGAGCCCAGCCGAGGTCCCCTCTGGCTCCGGGTAGGTCAATTCGGCGGCGAACTCGAAGCCAACGGGCAGATATCCCGTCATGAAGAATCTGATTAAAAATTTCGCAATGATTACAACTGATGTTGATTGCATTCAATGAATGTTTACTGTGGAATCAATGAGATTTACCCTAGAAGTGCTGCTGTGCAGTACACCACGATGATTGATCCACAGTCCAGAGTGAATGTAAATACAATGAAACCCAACAGCGAACATATGTAAATTCCAAGAGTTGTTTCCCTTTATGAATGAATGGTGAATTAATTTGATTCGTCAATTGTCGGGTATTATTTTTAATAGCGAAGCGGTGAACATGACAGAACAGAACAGGACAGAACAAGTAGATTTACCACACATTTTCAGGAATATGCCACTGATTTTCAGTGATTCATCCCTCATTTTTAGGAATCTATCTTCAAGTTTTAGGGATTCGGAAATCTTTTACCGATTATTTGCGATTTGGAAAAATTAATGATGTCTTCCTGAGAATTAGTAACGACGTCACTAAAAAATTAGTGACAAAATTACGGAATTTCAATATTTTGCACTGACTGACTTTCCCAGTTGCGAATGCCTAATAATTGAGAATGAATTCCTGAAAATCGGCCACATGTCCTTGAAAATTGAAACTTTCGTTCTCCTTGCAATTTTGAGTGACATTATCCCAATTTTCCAGTGACACCGTCATTAATTTTCATTAAACTTCAGTGATAAAGATCACTGATTATGCGAGTTATTCTAATCACTCTCCAATATCGCCAATAATTGGTGATAGATTTCCAAAGTCATGTTAAAAATCATGTTCAATCCATCACGTTTGGCCACTTCGCTACTAATTTATATCGTCATTTACTTGAACTTGTGAGTTTTATCAAGGATAACACCACAGAAAACGGATCCTGCCATGCCTGCACAGACAATCGAGAGCCCAATTCGACCGGCATCCGTCTCAGCATTCTGAAATATTCACAAATTGATCTTGAATAAATTTAGCAACAACACTTAGCAACTCGACGGTGTGAGTATACCACGGGTTAATAATAAACGATCAGACAATCAGGAATATCTCCAATTGTCTTTTGAGCATAAACACTGAAAGAATATCAACTCGTTATAATAATGGGTTGATTGTGCGTCACTCGTGCAACTAAAACTAATTACCTCAAAGTGATTCAAGATAAGATCATTGAGAAGAGTGCTGATGCCATAGAATATTCCGACATTGACGCCGTAACTGAGGAGTAATAGCAGATAACCAGAGTTGAGAAGGAGCCTCTTGATGGACTGGAAGAAGTTTTCAGACTTGTCGGCTTCTCTTTGCACCGCTTGGGCCGGACTCGGTGGCAGGGGTGGTTGGGCTTTGAAGACTGAACGCAAAAAGTTGTTGTCAAAGTGCTTTCTATGTACATTTCTTATGCAAACTTTTGAATGAAGGTACTTTGTACGTACATAAAATGATGAGCACGAGGATCACGGAGCTTGCCCCGGCTACGATATAGAACATTGTTTGTAGGCCATGTTCAGCGGAGGTCTTCGGTACGAGCATAGGTGGGAAGAGGAATCCAATGGCAACACCCAGCTGAAGTTGAAAATAGAAAGGATTCAATTCGATTATCAGAAGACTTTCATAAACTGTTAAAAAATTCAAGTCTATGGTCTTGCAGGTTTCCGTTCGATATGCATGGCAGGTTCTCCGGGCACTATTAGGAGGAAGTGGAACTTTCATGGACAGTTGACTAGTCATTCTGAGGAGAATGACATTTGCCTCCATCGAACTCGATTGAGGGGGGAGAACATAATTAAATTTCAGATTTCAGGTTATGTACCTGAATTTTTTTTATTTCTATCAATTTTCTTGAAATAATTGAGCTGAAACTTAAAATTGCTATTGATTTTTCCATACAATTTTGAATTTTCAATGACAAGATTCCTTGACATTTCAACAGTGTGGAAAAAGAGGTTTTGTTACGATTTTATTACATTGCGGGCGTATAAATTAGATTTTTATGCGGAAAGGAGTTTCTGTAAGCATTCCCTTCTTGTTGCGCCTGAAACTTTGGTAAAAAATAGTAGAAGTCTAGTAGAAATGACAATAGTCAGATGAGAATCCCACAGAAATAGTGGAATTGTTATAAAAGCAATTGCATTTTTCGCTAGAATTTTAGTAAAGATTCTAATTTCATCAATCGTTTGTAGAAATTTTACTCCCTGTACCATAAATCTGTAATTTCGAAGGAAAATAAGACACTTGATTTGTCGAGGCTATCAACATTCAATTCTATTAAGAAAATTATCACGTTATGTCATGAAATGACAAAACAATTCCAAATTTCATAATGAATTTTCATGATTATTCAGTTTTTTGTTGGTAATTTTCAATTCAACATTCGATTTGAAATTCATTTCTATGAAAACTTGAATTTGCAGCAGATTAAGAATTCACAAAAACTGTTGCTTGAATGTTCCCAATTTTTAATATTTTTCAGTGTCATATGAAACTGGACATTGAGAATCCCTTGAATATTTAAGAAACTACCTAATTCATCAATAAAGAAATATACATAAATTTAATGTAAGTTTGCCGTTGTTAAAAATTTCAAGATTGTTCACTTGAAATTTCAGGAGTAATTTTCTAACAGTGCAGTAGCAGAATTATTCACACAAAGTCGTCAGTACTCCACGCGGATCATTAGAATTGTATCGGATCTGATAATATACTGATTGAACAACACGAATAGTCGACAAATATGAAGTTAACATTTTGAAAATTGAGGAGTTGCTGAAACTAAAAGTTGAGGGGACTTTTCAATCATCCCAAGCATTATAATTTGCTCCATTCACTAGATATCCCTCACGAGTCTAGACTTAAATGGGAAGTGAGACTTATTCCCTTGGTACAAATCATTTCAACTGTAATTTATTGCACCGTTTATCATCACTTATAACACAATCATTGAAACATTGAACTTAGACCAGTATCCTGTTCCATGATTGTTAATGTTATCTTTGAGGGTCACTCGGAGTTGTTCGTCTCCATTAAAAATGATTTCAAAACTAATGATGACGATGGAAAACCTTTCATCATATTTCCGCAACCGGCGACATAAACGAGTGGAGATTAAGTGGTGCAGTTTAAATTGAATCATTCGCCGGATTAATTCACACGGCTAATTTACGATCCCCCGCGGTGTAAAATGGGGTCGAATCCCCCTATTGCTGATTCAACATGGTATTAATCGTGAATTCTTGACGAGCAACCAATTCCCACTTAATTTGATAGCCACCTACAGGGAGATTGATTCGCTGGGTCACTGTCGTTCTCATCCTATGCAAATTAACAGTCGAAAAAAACATTAGTTTTGTCAAGGAATTAGTTTCTTGAGAGAAGAATTTATTTTTTTAGGAGCGTATTTTTCCAGGCTAGTCATTCCCAGATGAGACGGAGTAAAGTTCACTACTATCCTCGCACGTCTGCCCCTATTTAAGGTGAATAGCTACTGAAAATTGAGTTTGCTCTACGATTACTTGACTTGTTCGGTAATTTTTCTGCAACTTTTTCCTCCGTGCATCTCCAACTATTACAATTACGTTAAATTATGGGATGATTATATTACATATGACCTTGAATGAACTCCATTGACAATTATTAACATTTAGAATTATTCCAAATTATTTTACGGAAGAAAATCTCAAATTTGAAAGGATTGAAAAATAACGAAGGATGTTTATTCAAGGTCATATTGTAGCATAACCATCGTATAATTGAACGGGACTGTAATATTTGGAGATGGGTATGGACCTGGGAATGACTGGCAGAATAAATAAGCTGCTAAAAAAATGAATTCTTTTCCCAAGAAAATGATTCCTCGGCAAAAGTAATTTTTTTTCTCAGCGTACAGAAGCATCAAGACGCATCGATCACGTACTCAAATACATGCGATTGGCTCTCCTCATCCGAATCTCTTTTTTTCCTGTCGGCTTCGCAGGATGGAAATGGAGGGAAAATTACACCGACGCGGATAATAAACGCATCGTGGAATACGTTTTCGAAGTTTTTAATCAGGGAATGCGCAAAAAATGAAGTCTCCTCTTTTATTACGCAAGATTTATCCCGGTAAGTGTTATTGTTGAATGGAAATGTGATGTAAATCTCAGTCAACCACAACATTTTTATTAGATTTCCTCAATCATTACACGGCATGAGAAAGAATAGGAAAAGAACAAACATAAAATTATGAACAATTGAATGTTATGTAATATCTCATCTTCATGAAAATTTAAGAATACCAATAACGATTGTGCAACACGACAATTATATATGCACGCATTCGAAATTATTTCCGCTCAATTTAATAGCCGCATACAAAAATTGATGATCTGCAGCTCCCACGTGCTTCTCATTCTACATAAAATCACATAAACTTTCATAAGTAGTCTTTTTCCCTGCGATCTACAGCTTTCTACTGAGTTAAGTATCTGAATAAATTGATGAACCAAAGTGCAACGAAGATTAGGGTAAGCTCGATAAAATGTACATTGAGATTAATAATACTTTGTTTTACTCGAAAAGAGGGGAATCACGAGAAAAATACGCACAACTGAATTCAGAGACGTTTCACAAACGTTTCACAGCCTTTTCTTATCTTCATTGAAATAGACGAAAATCAATAACAGATGTCTATCACATTAAATACTTTTATCATACACGTAAGAAATCGCCACTGTTGTAACCACACGGACAGAAAAACAAACAGTTCTCAAACAACTCTGATTAGAACCAAAAAAATTGCGATTTGAAAATTACGATTAAAATGAAAATGTGCTACTGCTGATCATTTGAAGACCGTCTCCTTCGTTTTGACTATCCATTAATCAACGATAAGGTATTCCTGTCACTTAGGAACTAAATATTTCTTGATAAACTTCCCTCGAAGAGAGATTTTTTCGCCCGGAAAAGGCACCATCTCGCGTCAATGATCCGTTTCTTGAGTGAAATATTTCGTTTTTATTGAAAGTAGAGCAACTATTTATATTCGAAACGTTCAAATTCAAATGGAAGAATTTCTGTTTTGGTAATTTTCCCCCGTTATCACTTGTCTTTCACTTCTAACGACCCGTTTCCACCCAATTTGATAGTCAATCTCCGGTCCATCCACGTTGAATACCTCACAGAGCTAATTTTATGATTTCGGTATGTTTTGATATTCAAAACGAGTAGATAAGCGCTTTAATCGCATGACTAGGTGCTTGTTCACGTAGGGTACCAACGTAAGTCATGAACCACAGGCAAACATCCTTCATAGCAGACTACGTGACGCCTTGGAGGAAACATTCATTGTCAGAGTGACACGAATTTTAACTAGTTACGATGAACTATGTTTAACCACGTGATTCAACAATGATACAATGATATTATTGCAGGATAAGTCGAGGGGGGATAGACACCTTAGACGAGAGAGTGTATGGGCAGGCATTTCATGTAATTGAGTCGTTGTTACAAATTTTTTGAAATTCAAGCAACAGCTGCGTTTGAATGTTCAATGTTGTGCATTTAATTTGATACTGAATAGTTCATGGAAATTCTGAAACATTTCATTCAATTCAATTTTTAACAGATTGACAATAAAACAAATAATGGCCTAAATTTTCACAATTTTCAATCGTTTTCTTGTTTATATGACCCTGAAAATTACAATTTCATTCATCATTCGAGAAACTGATGGCTTGTGTTGAACAACACATTTGGAAACCGCCCAGTGATCGGACGAATTTACATATTCATGGTAAAATAAATGATTAGTGCAGTAGAATTGAATTTTTATCTCATTAAAAAGCCAATGTAATATCATAAACTCAATGAGAACTTGTGAAACGTTTCTATACTCGAGTTATTATTGAATTTTCATAGAAAATTTTTTTCTGGATTTCAGTGCCGTGGAAATCACTAACTTTTCTATTTTTCTCTGTGTTGTTCATTCGAACACTGGACGCTTCACCCTAGCCGCTACTAAAAATGTCAATATTTTGACCTTTAAATTTCAGGAGCAATTTTCTAGAAGTGAAATTCACTCACCTGATTACCAAAAACTCCGATGCTGCAAGCACTGCTGACCTGATCGGGACCGAACCAAACGGCTGCTAATCTCGATGGGACAGAAAGTATAAACGTTTGACTCAACGCCACTATAGTGTGTCCTAGAAAAGTTACCCAGAACTTGTCAGGCGATACACTGAATACTTTAATCCATGAGCCTAATGCAGTGCCAGTTGCGCCTATCAAGGCCGCATTTCTAAGTCCCTGAATGCATTATCAAACATTGATTGGTTAATTGTGCGATAAAATAATTTCACTTACCGGTTAAATTGACTTTCAAACAATTTTTTTATCGCGGATTAAATCTCCAAAGTGGATCAACTCTTATCGCATTTGGGTGTTTCTTTTTTTCAAAAAAACATGTTTTTCTTGGTTACTCACAAATTTGTCGAGGAGATAACTGGCGGGAAAAATAAAAGGTATGTACGTTATCATGTAGATCAGGCTCGTCATATCCACGGCGAATGAATTTACACCGTAATACACTTGTATAATATTTCCAATTATGCTGTATTGAATCCACTGCATGGCGTTGCACGCACTGTAGAGGACGAAGATAGATAGGATCAGCCATCTTCGGCGATAAATTTTTGTCTCCACTACCTGCGGAGCATCGGACACGTGACATGAATGTTAAACTACAATTACTGCTTGAACGATATATCCTGTGATATATTCAGGCATTCATCAGGTATTCATATTGACAGTCGATACGACCAATATGTTTTGTCGCATGCGGTGTAATGATAAATAACAAATATAATGCGTGAACCATACTCTCTTTATTTTCATGAATAATAAAAAACAGTGACAGGGTACAATTTGGTGATACAATCAGTGGAGAACATGCTTCATTTTCATTGTTTTAATGGAGAGAAATTTCTATTGTAATTTAACCCTAAGTTATAGTAATCGTGTGGTGTACGGAATGTCTAATGAATGCAATATGTCTGGTAAAAATTACAACTCGGAGAAAATGACACGGAGAATTTTATTTTCATCTTCAGGAATTTTTGACTAATTTTAAATAATTCATCATCAATTATTGGTGACATTTAACTGCCTACAATAACCCTGATCATCAGTGATTTCTATCATTGAAATTTGGTGATAATTCGAATTCGCTAGACACTTGTATTAGATTTCTATTGAACTTTCTATTAGTTTTTGGCCGATTCTGTTGACATATTCAGTAGAAAATATTCTATAGAAAAATTCAAAAGAATTCGATTTTTTTATACAACTTATTCTATTAAGATATTTTCAACTGAATTTTCTCGGTTTTTTTGTTTCATTTTCTTGATGAGATGAAAAAAAAAATAGAATGAGAACGACTTGGAAAATTTGAGCCGAAGAAATTCCATAGAAAATTTCTGAAGAGAATAAGTTGTACGGAAAAATCAAATTCTATTGAATATTTTCTATTGAATATTTCAACAGAATCGACCAAAAACTAATAGAAAGTTCAATAGAAATCTAATACAAGTGTTTAGCGAATTCGAATTATCACCAAATTCCAATGATAGAAATCACTGATGATCAGGGTTATTGTAGGCAGTTAAATATCACCAATAATTGATGAATTATTTAAAAATTTTCTAACGAATTGCTAGGTTTTTCTACTAAATTTTTTCGTGCGTGATACCTAATAATTCGTGATAGATTCCCAATAATCGGTGACATTTTCCTAACAATTGGGCATACATCCCTGGAAAACAGTGACATATTCCTGAAAATCAAAACTTTTTATCTCTATGCATATAAAAATTATGATGAGGTATAATTGTCATGCATGAATAATCCTTCATAAAAATCGCTGTTCTCCCCGGGAATTTTCATGAGGGGTCATAAAATTTCCACAACTGAAGAGGAAAAACTCATATTTCACTCCGCATGTTCCGTGTTTCGACGTAAAAATTTTCCAAAGAGCATTTTGCCTCCCTTTTACGTCCTCCCACACAATTTTTACTTGAATTTCCTCTAGAAATAATTCTAATTTTTACCAGAGTTATTGCATTTTTCCGAGAATTTGTGAAAAATCTGAAAATCCACTACTCTGCACGATCACCAGATGCTACGAAAAATTCAATAGAACTTTTTGCTTCCGATTTAGAAGGATTACCTGCGTCGGTGGTACACCACATTCCACGGCTTTGACGTAATCTGACGATGTCCTACCCATTTCTACAGTCTGCTGCATCCAAAGACTGAATAATTTTCCTCCTCCCACTTAAATCTATAAAATTCCTCTCGCAATTCTCCGGAAAAACCTCTCAACTTCGTTTTATTGTAATTCTGCAATGAAACGGAAACTCCCCGTTTTTATTCAAATCAGTATGATCGAAATATCATTAGCGGTTCGCAAGCCGATGCTCGAGTATTAATTAGGGGTGGAATGGGACCAGTCAGTCGGAGTTCGATGAAGAGGATGCGGAGAGTATCGCGGTCTCCATTGAAATTGGCTTCAAGTGAATTCCCAAGAGCCATCCGGCATTAATTAAGCGTGAAATACAAAGGAAGTTCGATAATCCACGAGATATGCTGGAAATGGGCTTGCGATGTTCTATCCCCGGGGCTGAGAATTTTCACGTAATTTATATCAGTGGAAATTGACCTTCCTTATCGCTGTAGTTAACACTCCACTGGTACCTCGAGTTCTCTTTCCCCCCGACAAGGTTCTCTTTATCTCAAAAAAACTAAGTGATTTACGCCTGAAATTAAATTTAGGTCGACATTTCACATCAAAGCGACTACCACCTCTGACTCCAAATAAAATTGTATTTTTTCCCTCTCAAGTTTTCTGAGAAAGCACAAAGACACTGACGTCACAATAAAAATGAAAATAGTATTTGCGACTTTGTCGAGGAACTGGGTATTTTTATCACGGAATTACGTCGTACTAATTGGAACGGGTGCTTAGGGACTCTTCCACCGAGACACATGACTCCAGTACTTTTGACTCGTTACACTAGATTCTTTTAACATCGTTGCATATGCATGAGATGCAGCTTCACCTTAAGAAGTAACTCGAAACCAAAAATCTTGAGCTTCTTGTTGAATATTCAGGAAACAATGACGTCAATGATTGTATACTGCCTCGATCCCTTGATGACTCCCCGAAATAACTAACTAGACTGATATTAAGGATATGAAATTGCCGTCGACTCATCCGCTGACCAGGTCACCCGACCGAAATAAATCAACTAAATGTGGAAAGGAAGAGGGAAGAATCGAACGTACCTTTATTGACGATTTTTTTCCTCGAGTGTTTCATGTGATGAGTTGACTCAGTAAGCTTGGTATTTCTGTCGCATAGGCACGGTTTCATTCGTTTCCCCTCCCTCTTGATGTGGGGGGTTATCAAAATATTGGCACAGTAAGTCGAGAAAAAATATGTCGATAATGTCCTTAACAGTTATTATAAATGCTCTCTGATAGTGAATATCTTATTATTGTCGATATTGTACTGGTGTAAACATGAGGCCCAACTTTATTCTCGTTTATTAACCAGGGAATCCTTGAGTGAATCTATGTCTACAGCTTCACTCGGAGTTCAGTGGCTCAACATTGAGTCCGCTGATAATGTATATTTAGACGCGACTCCAGTTAAACGCCTCTGCGAGTCCCCAAACAATGGTGTATATTACCGATGAAGCTTTCTTTGCTGCGATCCGGGTCTCGTTGATCCATAGCCTCGATTACCACAGACTCCACGATGCAATTAGCTCGTCGTTATGATGATTTCCCACGGCAATAGCCATTGATCATCGAATTCCCTCGTTGTAACACTTGTCAACAATTAACTTTGGTAATTCAATATAAATCACTGGTGTCACTTTGAACTCGCCATCAAATCACCAAACGCTAAACTCCCCCTTTTATTCGCTATTTCGCTTGCAATTTAAAAATACTCGGGGGAGATTATCACAAAACGGTCCTGCGTTCTGGGAATTTCCGGGCGCGGGAATCACGCTTGACTGGGTGATTTATGGTTTTCCTCTAGAATGTATCGATCGGGAAAATGGGTGATGGGGTCTCGGAGTGGGTGAAAAATAGAGACAACAATGGTGACACTTGACACTGGCTGATAGGTAAAATATAGTTAACGATTTTGAATTGGAATGAGAGTTCAGTGAATTGAAGGATTAATGAATCCGGTTGAAACTGAAAATGAGACACTTGGAGTGACTAGTGATCGATTGAAAACACGTGGTGTGTCAAGTGAGATTGACTCGTTTGAATCATGATTTATAAAGTGTAGTCTCGCTCTATATTTGTCGCTCATGTGGTTCCCCTCTCCAGACTAACGGAGACTCGTCAGTGATACCGATGGGGCTGGCACAATCGGCGAGCCTCGGTGCACGTTTGGGGAAACAACTCGATGGGGGAACTATACCAGCGAGAGAACCGCCGGGGATGGCGGAAGAACATCAGCTGAGCGCCGCGGCGGTTAGTTGATATGGCCAAGCGGGTATATTGGTGCGACTTGCTTCTGCGCGATAACCACACGCGCACTGATATCCAACACCAAGGTCGGATAGTGTGCGATTTGTGTTTGTGTTAATTTACGATTTGCCACTTTGTTTTTGGGTTTGCTTGGGGTGACTGGGCGGAAATGTCCGAGACTGACTTGGGAGCTTATGTTGATTGGTTTATGAGTGACCAACTAGTTGGTGAAATTCAACAACTAATAATTAATCAATTTGGAAGTCTTAGTAACGAAATTACGTGAAAATTCAATGAGAAAAAAATCCAAGGAGATCAATTTTGACTGCCGAACTAGATGGTGAGGGCACATATACATTTGGGAACAATACCGCAATCATTTGGATCTTTATAATCGATCAATGTCTCGCCTATAATTTGTAATTAAATTTGAGCCATCAAAATAATTGACGAACATTTATTGACAATTCAATAAATGGTTGTCGAATGAAATTGAAAAATCTTTCCTGAATTTTAATTAATTAGTTGGTAAATTTTAATAACTAGTTCATAACTAGTTCATAATAATTTATCTTATGATTTTCTCGGGTTCGGTAAAAATCATTCTCCGTTACAGAAAAATTATACGAAAAATTGGAACAATTACTCACGTTCACTGGGATAATTTTTTATGGGATGCAGAGTAAATATTATAATTTCGGGACAAATCGCCCTCACGTTCGGTAAACTTTCCCGGGCCAACGGCGTAAAATTTACTATTAATCTCGCACTTTTTCCTCTATTTAAAGTGAAAAAATACTGAATAGCGAGTTTGCTCCACGATTACGTGACTTGTTCGGTAATTTTTCTCCAATTTTTTTCTCCGTGCATTCATTCGCGTTTTATTTTGGAATTGAGAATGAGTTTTAAAGGTCGTAACGCTCCGCTCGTCATTTAGATTGCACCTGATAAGTGTTTGACGGAGCTGAAGTCATTCGAAGAACCTTGGGTTAGTGATTTGGAAAAGGTAGAGTGGACCGCTCGCATCGATTTCGGGGTCCAGGGTACTCGAGTACGCTTCATCCCAGCTGCCGAGTGGAGACCGTTGAAGTACTGGAAACTTGAGTTCCGAACAAACAACCAGAACTCCTGGCGTTATGGACTGGTGTTTGTGATAGCCACTGGATACGTTTCGTGCACATCCACGGTTTGTTGGGTTCTTTTTATTTAGTGGAGGAACGAAGTCTGGGAGGAGTTGTAAGCTGAGATTTTACGGCTAGCTATCAGATTCTTCTTGCCTTGAGAAATGGGGGATTGTGGTTTCGAGAGAAATATACTGGCGCGATTGATAAGAGGTTTATTGCCGTGGATAATCATTCTTGTTGGGGGAATTTCGCTCATTCAGGTCGAAGGATTTGCTTGAGATGATTGAATGATTTTATGGTCGTTATCAATGGAATTTCATTGGTTTTTTTGATAAAGACATCGGAATTCGGGGACTGGAATGTTTGTACGGGGATAAATTGAACGATTAAGGCAGGAAATGGATTTATTTCTTGGAATTTAAAATATTATGATGAAAAAAATTGAAATTATGAATAATCCCAGTACACGGGTAGAAATTTTGAGATGAATTCATAGTAGACGTTTTGGAAATTTTTCTCTAGTGACAGTTTCTCGAAAATTTCATAACTTGATGAAAAATCTGTGGAAATTAACTAATTATTAAATTAATAAAAATTGACAGCAGTGAGGAAATTCAGGTGAATATATTCTTTGATTTTCAGTGAAATTTCAAATTCTATTGATTTTTCCCCTTTAAATGAAATTCCACATCGCTCGCTCGAAAATTACTTTCAAACTGTTCATAAAATTTTCATTGTTTTTCTAACAGTACATATTTGCATGTTTTTCATGTTATGTAGAGGAAAAAAATCTTACGAAAAATTACTCTATGATGTAGGTAACCGGAGGGCAGAGTGCGAGATAAAAATGCAAGACACAGGATGAATTTTCGCCGTTGTAACGCAATTTTCCCGAGATTAACAGTAAAATTTGTGAATTGTTGATGAAAAAGTACAAGAAGACGGACAAATTTCCTGGATTTTCAGGGAATTTGACTAACTTTTCACATCCTTCGATATTTTTACTGCATTTTCGTTCCAATTGTTTTTCATTTTTCTCTGTCTAGAAATCAAAATTGGACTTACGGCTCTACTCCTAGCGATCTTCACCTCCTCAGTGGGCACAACTTGAAAATGACAGGTATCCCTCATCTTACTCCCCTCCATATCTCAGATAATCCACTAAACACGATCCGTGACAATAACCTCACGCATACTTTATGAAACCCAAATAAAAACTGAACGCACACTGGAGCACCACCAAGTGTGCGAGTTGGCAGTGAGTTGGCCTAATGTTTGAATATCGTATTTACATTTCGACGCAAATGAAACGTCGTGAATAAACTCGTTGGTGACTACCAAGTGGATGCTACGGATTCCATGACTACTTACACAATACCATCAATTAGAGGATATAAAACCACGACGAACAGAAGAACAAGAACGGCATCAATTGAGGAATTCAATAAATTTCTTCAATTGAACAGATTGACTCTAAAAATGTTCCCCGCGTCTGACCACGCGTGATTATAATTGAGTTGTCCCGTGGAGTATAATTGAATACTCGTAATGATGGGCTCCAAACTATTTCTCCAATTCAATTACTCGAAAACGTGTGTTGGGGAAGGTATTGGTGTCGGGTGTACCGAGGAGCTGACGCGGAAGGTCTAAGGCAACGTATCACGTTTCCTCGACATCATTCCCCCTCGATGGCAGAAAATAGCACCTGTCACTTTTCAATTCTGAGACTGCATCGAAGGAGAGTACATGGAAGATAAGATTCAACTTCGATCTATTGTTTATCAGTGTACACCACTTGCCGTCAAGAATATGATGCATAGAAATCTTACATCGAGAAAAAAAACTTCAATTCCAGGGAGGTGGCACGGATTTTCAGTGATACATTCGTAATTTTTAGGAATCCGTCCCCAATTTTCAGGGGTTTGCGATTGTGAAATTCAAGGTGGGCAAAATTCTGAAATTTAGTGATTTTGTCACTAGATTTTCAGGAACCCATCTGTAATTTTGAAGAATCTGTCAACAAATTTCAGTGATTGAAATCACTGATTATCATGGTTCACCAATAATTGATGATTGATTCCTAAACATCAATGACATGTTGTTGAATATAAAAAATTGTTTCCAATGAATTCATTAGGAGTTTATTACAGGATTTTGTTGATTAAAAATTGATGAATTTCATAAAAATCCGAATTTTATATTGATGTCATGATAAAAATGCTCGAAAATCACAAAAATCCCGGCAACAAATTAAATTCAACGTGACGTTCAATTCTTAAAATAAGTTGCACTTTATAACTATTCAAAACTTCAACATGAGTTAAAAAGGGAAGAACGAAATGATCTTGAATGTTTCCCATAAATAAAATGAATAATTTGATCATGAATATTCAAAATCGCAGTGCATAAAATTATAAGGAAGATGGTATCTGTCACTTTCAATGCTGCGACTTCATCGAATAAAGGAATCTTAAATAGATAAGGTTCCACGATATTGGAGACATGCACTTTGCTCCATTGTTTATCAGAGTAAAGCACTTGCCACCGAGAGGACTCAAATAGGTTGAAAAGTGCACCCTTGACATCATTTACTTGTCAGGTGACAAATAACAATGCAGAGCGTTGTTCAATTCCCGTGATAAAAAGACAAAAATTCACTTCTCTGACATTTTGTGTATATCATTCATTCGAATAGTCATGGAGGTCAATAACAAAGCTAAAACCGTGTAAAGACACGATCGGACTGGTCTGATCTATCGCGGGATTTATCCACTTTGGTAATGCAGGAAATTTCTCTGCCGGTTGAGACCACTGAGCGTCAAAGTATCGATCTGTGGAGGCTGAATATAGATGTCATGATATCATGCGTTTCTGTATTACTATATAGACTAGACGGGGTTGCGCTAATCTTTCACCTTTTCCATTTGTGAGTTTCTTGGCTTCATTCAAATTTTCTGAAATTTTTCCGCAAACTTGAGGATTTTCTAGATTTTATTCAAATGATGAGGAGAAAACAGACATTTTTATCGAATTTTAAATTCTAAGAAAATCGGAGAATTTTCTAGAATTAGAAATTTAAGGCGTGCTCATGTCAAAGGTAAAAAATGAATCAAATTCATGGGACTGGGGAAACAAGAAAAATGAAAGACACGTGGAAAAATAACTTTCGTCAGAACATAGTCAATATATATTTGCTAATAAATTAATGATTTTTAAATTGAATTCAATGATTCATCGAATCAACATTGCCTTTTTACTTTTCGCTGAATGTAGGTTTCGAAATACATTTTTCCAAAAAGAGACGATCAATTTTATAGTTTAAATCACAATTGGATTCATTGAACTCGTTTGTTTTCAGTTCTCGTCGAAAGACGAGAAAAATAGCATGTGTGAACTCCTGAGGCCAAAATTTGTTATCCTGACACAAAAAATTGGAAATTTGGGTTATAAAATACTTCCATTCGAAAGCAAAATTGAAAATTATGAGATTCAAGGAAGTAAATGACGAATGAAAACACAAAAAGGAAGAATTCATTATTCCTGCGCACGATAAACATAAGAAAATTGACAATTATAACAGAATAAATAATTTGTGAATTTTAAGATCTAAAAAATACCCCTTTTTTTATTGTTTTAAAACAACTTTATCCCGTGTATCTCCCTCTATAGCTAGAAATATTTTGAAACGGAATTTGCAATGAGCATTCGTAACTTTGCATGGACAGTAAAAAAGATGATATCGTTGAAGATGAAGACCTGATGATAGAGGAAGCAAGTATAGTTTTTGAGAAGTTCGAGGATAATCCAGGATTTGATTTCCTCGATCGTCAGGCATGACGGGCTTCACTCCGAATTTTTATGAAATTTTCATGCACAAAAATATGTGCCATATCGATAAGGTGAAAGCAAAACGGTACACCACTTTGGGTTCCTGTATCAAAGTGGGCCAGGCATGTATGCAGCAAGGTGTTTATTGAGTGTGCTCTATATCCTTGGTCAATGCATGATCGTTCATTCCACAGAGAAGATAAAGTTTTAATTCTCAAAGAACTATCTCTAATTTTTTCGGGCTTTTTCTATTCTTACCCTTGAAATAAGCGATTTTCTCACTGAAATCTGGAGACAAATTTCATGAATCTTAATAGCAAAATAATCCTAGGTATTATGGAGAAAAACTGGTGAATTTCAGTGGTGCCATCCCGGAAATCAGACAAAATTTCCGATCTTCATTAACTTTTTTATTAAATTTTAGATAATTTCACTGAAATTAGTGACTAAAACACTTGTTTTTATATGGAGAAAAAATCACATGAAAAATTACTTTAATCTAGGTAATCAACACTGAGAAGAACATTCAATTCAACCAATTAAATTTATTTCAGACAAAAAATTATAGTCATATTTTGTGTAGAAATTTCGGGCATTTGCTTATCTGAAGCATATTTGATCGGCAATACTCATTTGTTTATCTGAAACATTTTTAATCTGGAATTTTCAACTGAAATGAAGGAATAAATGTGAGGCGTAAAAGAAATTTCACAATTTGTAACGTAATTTTTTCCCCGCGAGCACTAAAATGTATTAAATTTCGATTATAAAAAACAGATAAATTGTACACTGTTCATTAATTTTCGCTGCATTTTCTTTGCATTGTGTGATTTTTCAATATCTTCGGTTGCTCATGAATATCTTGAGAAACATTAGCCCCCGACGACTTAAAAAACAAGATATTCCAGATTTTATTCAGAGTTGCAGAAACGAATTACATCACGAAAAACCCAGCAAGTCTCCACTGCTAATGATGCCATCCTTGACTCAGTGTGCAGAGTTATCCAGAGCTATTAGCATCTGAAATCTGCTAAAACACTCCGAAAACTCATATCTCACATCTCACTCGAACGACTACGCGTGCATTCTGAGGCAAATTGTTTCACGGTAATGCACAATGAACCGGATAATCATGTCCGCGAGACATTTAGTGTGCCAGCCGAAAGTGTGTTGGTTGCAAAGCACTTTAGTTCCTCGCAACTTTGGCTCAGTTGAATCTTATCGTTCTAGCGGCGAACATCCGCTACCTGCGAGTCTATCTCGTGCTCTTGGCAGTAGCAATTTCATCTCAGCTTACGAACCGTTTTTAATGCATCACAATCGCCGCGACTATTTCAGTCCAAAGTTCGAAAGTCTTATTGTGCCGTACGAGTGCATCGTTTTTGTTCCAAGAAGGATCCTATCATCACCTTGATTTCTTTATCATTTGCTATCTAAATATGGAGGCGTAAAGTCGTCTCTCTAAATCGTTGGCAATCGAGATAACTGAGTGATTATATATTACACCCATATTTTTCCTTGAACATCCGTAAAACATTCCCGAATAATTTCCAACACAGAGGAAAGAATACTATTTTCTGGAACATGACGTGTCACTGATTTTCAGGAATCTATCATCAATTATTGGTGATCCAGGACACTGACCAGAATGAATTTGGTGATAGATTCATAAAAATTAAAGATGGATCCCTGAACATCAGTTACATTTTCAGTCGTAATGCCCCGAGTGAAAATAAAATTTTCGATCCTTTTCGCGCATAGCAACGAGAGAGAGAAGTTTTCCAGATTGAAATCCCGAGTGTGCAGGGCGCGGAATTTTATTGTAAAAAATATCCCGATCGTTGATGTGCAGAAAAAATTGGGGAAGTTTTTCTCCAATTTTGGAGCACAAAGGGCAACTAATTGGATTAGAAATGCAGTATTCGATGGTTTTGCCGGGTAAAGCCAGATTCGTACCAGAACTTCATTCATTTTAACAGAAATTTTTCATTCAAAGTTGCCACACGACACAATGGAAATAATCGAAAATTATAGCAATAATTCCACCTTCACTCCTACGCAAAACGTCGAATACTACATTTCTATTGATTGATATTCGGATGAGGAATAATCCCAAATATTATTGAGGATGCCACTGGAAATCACTGAATTCCCGAATTTTGCACTTCAATTCCTAACAATTGGGTGCAGATTCCTAAGAATTAGAAATAGCCCTGAAAATCAATGACATGTTTCTGAAAATGAGAACTTTTTTTCCCTCTGAATAACGTACATCCATTCTAGATGATCATTAGATTACAATCCTGCTGTCAGAACGAATTTTCAGATCTCATTGACTGCAATAAAATTCAATCACGGTTTCTTTAATCCAATAAACATCAAGATCGATAGTGCAGAGATAACCCTAGTCCTATCATCCGCCTATATCTGAGTCCAAGACACTGAGCCGACAGTCGTGGAAAAAGCCTCATAGACTACGGACACACAGGTTGTATCCTAGCAGTCCACCTCGATCGCGATTATACGCCCGTGCAATTCAATGTAAATCCTTGGTACACGTGCTGGTCCCTGGTATACTACGCATTCAATACAAATGTGAACTACCCCACCGTTAAGTGAACACAATTTTCAACATTTTCTTCATTCTCCTTTTTGCTGGAGTGAAAAAGGATTATCGATGAAAACCAACGAGCTGAATTTGAAAATGATTGTGCCTCCTGCAACTGTGGGAATACTTGTGGTAGCTTCTGGAATCTGTTTCATTTTATTCAGCAGTTTCCGTAGAGGGTAAGTTGAGGAAATCATTAAAAATGCATCGCATTTTGTGGGTTTCACCCGCGTTTTACTGAGTAACATATGCTGAGCTAAAATTTAAGTGGAAATTGTTCAAATGGACGACAACAACTTCATGTGAAATTTCAACACATTGTGTTGTCAGGACATTAGTTAATTTTGTGGGAATTCAAATCCCAATTTGATGTGATGATGGGAATGCTGCAAAATTATAAACATCTAAGCGATTATTATTTGGAATTTTTCATTTATTCAGAATTGAATTCAATGCGATGTTTAATGTTCACGGGGAATTCCAGAATCCAACTTGTTATGGAAAATTTGATGTTAATTCTAACAGAAAATTTTTTAATTAAAATTATAGTGGAAATTTGATCTAAAAATTCAATTTTAAATTGTTAGGATGCAGAAGCCCAGATAGTTTCAAAGCTTCGCACGAAAAAATTGTTTCAATCGATTTTATTATTGAAAAATTAGTTGATTCCATGAAAATTCAATAAAAATTGAAATCTGATGTAATGATTAATATGCAACTAATGCCATGACCTGTCAGTATATTCAAAATTAAGTTTTATTTCATTTTAAAGTTTCACAAACATATCCTAAATTTCAAGCTGTTACTGAAACTTTCACATTCAATGAAAAAACTCATTATTCTTGAGTATTCAACACGAATAAAAGTTAATGGACAATTTGACTGTCAATGGAATTTCAATAAATTTCTACCAGTCATTGAAAAAACATTGAAAACAAAATGGAAAATAGAAACTGTCTCCGGTTTTGAACTTTCTACGATATCTACGAATGCTCCAGCCCAACTATTAACGTTATCAATGACCTCAAATCTTATTCTGCATTTTCTTCACCGTCGAATGGATGAAACTCCGGTTCGGATTAGTAACGGCATTAATTCCTTATCTCCCGCAACTATTACTGCGATAGACATTGAACATTTCTAATGACAATAACGCAACTGCTGAGTTTTTATGAGGCCGTCAATCACCGAGGCAAATGCATATAACTATAGAATGAACAGATTGAGGACGTCAATGTCAATTGAACACGTTACGTCAACCCAGTTGCTCTCAGACGCGACGTTACCTGAAAATAGCAGGAAAATACCCGGCTTATTCCTCGATATTTTCCCTCAGAAGTTTACCGATGAGGGAGCAGCGCAATTTCTCGGAAAAATGAATGAGATTATCGGCCGATACCTGGGAGAATTATGATCTTCCAATTAATTCTTATCGCTTCTTTGCTTTGAAACTCCAATAAGCTACTGATAAAGATGGCGTGGAAATTCTACTTTTTCAATGGAAAGTCGATCATAACCACCGTATGAAGGTTAATTAATGGGGTTGACCTTGAACGCTGATGGAATAAGATCGGGAAATAACTGTTATTAGTCTCCTCTCAGCATGGGTATTACAAGCGTTCTTACAGCGAACCACGTAACACCATAACAAGATGTTTATCGATAAATATTTTATTTAATTTTATTTAGTCGTTTATTCATTTAATACATTTTTTAAACTGAATGCGTCAAAGTTGACGAGTGAAGTAGAACAGGATGAGTCGATTTCGTTTGAAAACTAGTTTTTGGAAAATATTCCGAAATTCATGGGAAATGTAACAGCAAGATTTTCCCAGCGAGATGCACAGAAAACTTTTTCATGGGGATGTATTTCTACAACAGAATTACACACTGCTAGGGGGAATGGGAATTTTATAAACTGTTCAGTAGTAATTTTCCGAAAAGTGGCATTGAATTAGATTTAAGCGGAAAAAGTTTGTGAAATTCCAATTTTCACTGGATACACAGAGGATTAGTTATTGTTAACAAATCTTGTTTGGAATAAATGAATCATTCTATCAATGTATTCAATGGAATTCTGAATTTTTTTAGCAACAGGAAGACGAATTTCAACATTTTACCAGAATTGTTCTAATTGTTATCAATATTCATGGCATAATTGGACTAAAATTTATAGTTTCCATCGGTTTGTTCATTAAATTATGAATTTTCCATGATAAAATTCCTTGAGATTCCATTTGTTAACTCTTAAGCAATCTCGTTTGGAATAACTAAACCATTCTATCAGTGCAGATTCAACCAACACTCAAGCAAGACTAGCCAATTTCAAGCCGAGGCTCCACCAATTCAATAACATCGGCGGGTTCCACCCGAGACTTTCATTCTGTCAAGATGAATGATTAACAAATAACCGTTATCATAATAAGTCGAGTAAAAAATGGAGTTATCATTATCAAGCCACTTCCAATATCAGTAGATCACTCTAGTCCTGAATGAACCTGTCGTGATGCTAGAAAGTACGATGCGGCATGATAAAAATTCGACCCAAATAAGATAACCATTAAAAAGAATCTTAAAACAAAAATAAAACTTGACGAGCATGGCTGCTCTCACCGTCAGCTCGAACAACTTAAGCTAATAAACCTGTATATACCCTGATCTCTATCCTATTCCCAGATTCGAGATAATAAAGTTTGTGAACCATTGTTTTCTTCACCACTTAAACCAGTACAAAAAATCATTTAGTTTCCAGGCAAATTGGGCGCTGGATGCTGATGCTATGTGGGCTTTAATGAGTGGGAAAACAATGACGCGACAATGGAATGTTTCCGCGGCTTTCTCACTTTACACCTCGAATAGTGCTGAATCTCTTGATTCACAGTTTTGGCATTTTCATTTTTTTCACTGAAATTCTCGCGCAAAATATTTATGAAGTGCAAAAATCGTCGAGATATTCGGAATCCCCTAGACGTGATTAAATGATAATCATTTGGCATGTCTAAAAAAGAATTTTCTTCGAATGAAACTATTCTTAATTCAAAAAATTAAGTTTAAACAACAACAAACTGTTGGAAATTTTACTAAACTTAAATGACAGCTGCACTTGATCTTGCAATTTAGTAAAGTCGAATTCAATTCAATGTCAAATCGTTCCTAACATGTCTTATTCATGTTTTTCTATGTTAACCGATCATTTGTATGTCAATGACAACTTGTATTCCCAAAGTCATTGTGGAAATGAACATCACATTCAATTGAATTTTCAATAAATTGAGAATTAAGAACAGTGATTGAATGAATTTCTAGAATTTTCAATAATATTGACGCTGTTAAAAATTTTTGGCTGACATTTCCGGTACACTTTTTGGAAACTTTTATCGAAGTTAATTACCACTGAAATTTCAATGTAATTTGGCACTGAATATTCATATTAGATTGGAAATCCAAATAAATTAAGGAATTCTCGTCTTTATGCTGCTTAAAATTCTGGAATTTTGCTAAATTTTCAGTGAAATCTGAAATTTCATTTTTTTCCAGCAGTGCATTGTCATATAAATCCGAAAGTAACAAGTTCTTTACATATTCCAGAAATTAACTAATTCTCCAACAATTCCATGTAGATTAGTTGTTGTTAAAAATTTCATGATTTTATACTTGAAACTTCAGAAATAATTTTCTAACAGTGTATCCTTGATTTCAAATTACTTCAAATGCTCAATAACTACTCACACAAATGTGGAACAAATGCATCGAAGAATAATAAGAATCTGAATTTCATGAAGCCTTTCAGCGGATTATGAGGCTCGATGTTAATCCCATGCTACATACTAAATTCGAAATATTCAATTCATCAAAATGAGTCACTCTCCAGATGCATGTCCCCCACTCGCACCGATAGTCGATTCTCAATTTCGTCGTTCCCATTTCATCTATTGGGGTCTCCTCTTCACACAAAACATTTAAGGTGCGCATCAATCATCGGAACAATTTCAATTTCCTAGACGTCGTCGATGATTGCCATTGTTTTTTCTATTAATGCAGGAAACTAAATGCTGCATTTAGAAAGATTATTCCTAGTTTACAAATTTTCAATTCCAAGAACAAGATTCTTAACGTGGGAATTATTCTCACTCTTTTGACTGACAACATTTTCCCTATTTCATTGTTCAAATAATAGCTACACTGTTGAACATTTTAAAGTGAACTTTCCCGCGCCGAATCCCGGGAACTATTATCAAATGACATTTCCACGAGTAATTTCAGGGGATCTGATTATTTAAGAATCAAGTATTTCATCCATTTTTTAATAATTCGATCAGAAAAAGAATGAAAGCCATAAATTTCATTTTATTTATTTCGTGAAAATTCAGGAAAATCATGAAAATTCAGGTGAAAGTAAAAAATTACAGTTATTTCAGTTCTGAATATTCATGTTCAATTGAAAATTCAAGTAAACTGCGAAATTGCCGTCTTAATCTTACATAAAATTTATGAAAACCCTTGAATTTCTCCCTAAATTCAATCCACTCACTCCACGTCACTCTTATGAATATTATAACCAAATTGTTCATGAAGTTTTGATTTTCCTCAACACTATCACTTCACCAAAGAATAAAAAACAAGGAAGCAGAATACCATGAAGCATCGAAAAACATTACAAAACCAACGATAAAGAATAGATTACGTATTCAATAAAAAAAACATGACTTGAAAATCCTCAATCACTGCAAATGACTCACTCGTCAGATGCATGTCTCAGACATCAACTGATCATTTCCACCGGAAGTTGAATTAGTCACACGTATAGAAATTGCCACAAGAGTTCAATAATCTCCATAAAAAATTAAGATGCGTCCCGCATAGATATTCTCAACATGGTAAGGCAAATCGATTGCACAATGACCCCTATAACACTACATATACTGAACAATGGGTTCCATCGACACACAGCTGTACCGAGGGACCGGAAGCGTAGGTGCCACATGGGGCAGAGGACTCCAGCCATCGACTGACAACTTTCATTGTTGTAATGGCTTGTGGAGTGAACAGTTAAATGAAAAACTAGTCCCATCAGAAGTCGCTGAAAGATGTTCTAAAATAAAACTGTCAAAACAACTAGTGAAAATATAATTCTCATCAATTCATTAAATATCGTATTCATGAAATCGTATGAAGTGAG